ATTAAGAATTCTTCTGTCCTTTGGGTAGATACCAAGGAGTGGGATTGCTTAGACGTCCTAACATCTGAATAATTGGTATCCCAGAAGAGAAACTAATAAGGGCATGGAAAACCTATTCCATGAAATGGTGGGAATAAAATTTTTTGTAAAACCTAGAAATTGATTGCTTCAAGAAGTCTTTTGTACTCTTTATAAGAGTTGGGGAAAGAGAAAAGAGAATGAGGAATCTGGGACCAGCAGATGGTGTAATAGCTATGTTGCTGGACTCCCATGTAGTTGACTGCGGTTCGAGTCCCGGACCCAGTGGCTTAAACTCATGATGGGCACATGTGCATGCATGTCCAAGATCCTGAGGAGAGGAGAATGGAGGAGAAGGGATTGCAACATTGCATTCCTCACCTGGGGAGTGATTTCTCGCTTTCTGTCTCTCTGTCTCTCTCTGTCTTTCTGGTGAGCACATGTATCCTCTAACAAAAACCTCTCCAAAAAAGAAAGAAAGAAAGAAAAAGAAAAAGACAGTGAGGAATCTATGAATAAAGTCCATAAAAAGATAGAGGTTCAATGAGTTTATCTGAGAATTCCAAAGGAGGAATGTGCCTGCAATTGCTCATCCCCCCCAGAACTCACACTAAAAAATGAGTGCTCCAGCCAAAGACCCAAAGCAGGTCTACCCCACAGAAAGCTGCCTGTCCACCTGACCTTGGAGCAGGCTTCCAGCAACCCAAGGCAAAGGCCTACTCGGTCCTCCTAGGCAACACAGCTTAGTAAGCAACTGAGCTGCCTCCTCTTACAGGTTAATAGTCAATCCAGCCAAACACAACTGCAATTCATTAGAGAGAATGTAGCCAAGGGTGTTTAATGGAGAGAAAGTGGGAAGACAGGAAAGGAAAGAAAGGAGCCCAAACAAGCTCTGTTGTAAAGGCAGTTTTTTCCTTTTTTTGAGAGGTTTTTGCTATAGGGCGCGTGCACTCACCAGACAGACAGAGAGAGACATAGAGACAGAAAGGGAGAAATCAACCCCCAGGGGGGATGGCCATGCCACAACCCCTTCTCCTCCATTCTCCTCTCGGGATCTTGGGCACGCATGCACATGCGCCCGGCTTGAGTTTTAAGTCACCGGGTCCAGGACGTGAACCGCCATCGACTATGTGGGAGTCCAGCAACATAACCATTACGCTAACTGCTGGTCTCGAGGCAGTTTTTGACCAAACTAGTCCCAGCCTGCCTCCCAGTTAATTCGAGGAAGATGTGATTCACACCCAGGAAAGATTTTTGCCTAAACTTCACTTCACTGATGGCAAACCTCATCACACAGAGAGGTGTGTGGTTTGGATGGGGTGCAGATTAAAAATCTAGGGTCAGGAGTCAGCTTTGCACAGAGGCACACATAGGCCACTCTGCCCACCTCTTTCTGCTCTTCTGTCTCTTCCGTCTTTGTCCTTTGCTTACCTGGCCTCCTGATCTATGGCACTCTTTAGCATAGAAACTCACAATGAGAAATTCCCATTGTGTATCATCTAGATTATTTCTGGAATGTTTCCTTTCCATGCAAACAGAGCTGACTGACATTGTATCATTCCTCCTGAAGCTGCTGAAGGGAGGATTAATATCCAAGGTTAGATAGGGCAGAGTGGACTCCCTAGACCACATGGCAGATGTTGACGGCCCATAGTGCACTTGAGCCTAATCTCATCTACTGCACTGGGAGATTGGAGACATAGATGGTGGCCGGACCGCCTGACCCACAGCTCTGCAGCAATCAGTTTGGAACAGTCAGCAGTTGGCCCATGAGTGCCAGCTTCTCTAATTCTTGCCCCTGCTTTTAACTCAGGACCACCGAAGAAAGGCAAAAAGTTTCCAACCATTCCCATGTGATGTCTTGCTGCTGCTTCTTCTTCTTTTTTCTTTTTTTTAAACTTGTCTATATATTTGTATTATTCATACATTAAATCACTATTCATCATTTAGATTGTGAAGAGACTTTACCCAGCATGATAAACACCTCAGTCCAGCCCAGTTGAGACCACCATACACATCCTCATCAACAGATAATAAAATTTATTTGTGTCCCTCAAGTGTCTTACCTCTCCATTTCCCCTCCACATTTCCTGTGTTCTTCCCCTCTCATGCTGTCTTTCCACTTTGTCTCTAGTGTCCCTTACAATTTTTAATACTTTTATGTTCTCCAGTCTTTCAGTCTCTACCATAGAGTGCGCGTAGTTGGTATATGTTAAGTGGAGACATTCAATGTCTGTCTTTCATAGCCTGACTTGCTTCACTTAGCAACAAATCTTCCATATTCATCCACTTTCTATAAAATCCCAGAGCCTTGTTTTTTTATGGCTGAATAATATTCCACGGAGTATGTGTGCCACAATTTTTCAATCCATTCATCTGTTTGTGGACCTCTGGGTTGGTTCCATGTCTTAGCTGTAGTGAATAAGGCTGCAATGAATATAGATGTGCAAGCACTTTTCCAACTAAGTGCTCTCCTGTCCTTTGGGTAGATACCCAGGAGTGAAATTGCTGGATCATATGGTAGTTCTATTTGAAGGTCTTTGAGGAACCTCCATATCATTCTCCACAGTGGCTGGACCAATTTACATTCCCACCAACAGTGTAGGAGTGTTCCCCTATCACCACATCCCCTCCAGCACTTATCATTACTTGCTTTATTAATCTTCGCCATTCTGACTGAGTTTAGGTGGTATCTCATTGCGTTTTGATCTGCATCTCCCTTACAATGAGGGATGTTGAACATTTAAAAAAATTTTAATTTCAATTTATTTATTTGCATTCA